GCCGACTGAAGAATTATTTTTATCATATTACGTCTCTCATATTTACTCAGTAAAATTGATCTGCCATGATAGTACTGAAATTTTGATACTAAATAGGGGGGCCGGATACCCTCTATTCCTGAAAGGTAGGAGGCCGGGCATGTTATATATTGGATTGGGGAATTAGTTCAAATGGTAGAGCACTCGCTTTGATACGGGAGGTATCGGGATCGATACGAGGATTCTCCAATTTGTGCCCTCATGCTTTTATTTATTCTTTGGAAAAGGCTTGCCTTGTAAAGTGTTGACTAAATCGGCATCTCTTTTGTAAACGTCAACGGCTGTTTATTTAAACAAAATTTAGCCACTCTTTAACAAAACCGAGCTCTAAGCCATCTTCACCTCAGCCAAACCTTTTATCTGAACATTTATTTTTGTGTCAAAAGGGCCGAAAGTTGATAGCGGAGGGACATTCATTGAATTAAATCAACCCTCCAACAGAGAATCCCTGAGGCCTACTGATTGCGTAAAACCGCGGTTTGGGCTAGAACTCGCTTATGCAAGAAATTGTAAAGGGACAATGATAAAACAGCTGCTTAGCCTGTATCCAGACTTCCTCCCACCTTAGAAAAGAAGCAAAGTTAAGCGATCGTGAATCTTGTCGTTTCCAACGAAAATTCGATGAAGATTCATTGTAAATGCACTCAAGAATACAAGAAGAACAGTGGAGTAGAAGAGAACATTCCCCTAACGAAGGATATACTAAAACAAATCCGTGATCACGTTTTTCATTATTTTATCAAGGCAACCAAAGTCGGAGAAAGTCGATTGCGTTGCCGAAAAAAATAATAAAATTTGAACGCAAGAAGAAAAGGATAGCATGGCCGCGCTACTCTTCAGAAGGATGCCTAAGGAGAATGCTTGTTTAATTGATATATACTGCATCATTCATTTTCTCAAAGGCTTGTCTGTATGGATACTCACCGAGGGAGTCTTGTTTTGCACCTCGAATGTGTCCACTTTTCCTTAAAATCCCACTGCGAGATCTTCTTACTAGGCAGAGTTTAACTTTCGTGTGAATCACCTTGTGTGTTTTTCCTTGTCACTTATTCATTTATTCATTTTGATATAAAAAAAACTGTAATTCTAAAAACTTAACCGTGAAAAGTTAACCGCTAGGTGGAGGTTTCTGTAGTGTAGTGGTTAACACGTCCGCCTAACACATGGAAGGTCGCGGGTTCGAGCCCTGCCAGAAACATTTTCGATTTATGACCGGCAATATGTGCAGCCATAACAATCATTGCAAATTCCATTAAATATATTTACCTCTTGTTAATTATTCATTCTTCCTTGTGAGAATAATTGGTAATTCCAAATTTAATAAATTAAATTTCAGTTCTGTGATATTCTTCTTTTGGTGATAACCTTATTCTTTCAAAGCATACTGAGGCTGAGGTAAACTTAGAAACACTTACCGGTTTGCGAGTCAGTCTGAACGGTTTCTTTATGCTCGTGCAGACTTCAGATCAACCAACGACACTTGTTGGAATGAAAGCTTTGCTGCATCATCTACTCGAGAACAGTCTTTCCGTCTTGTAAATTTGATGTGGCCATGTCAAGCCCTGTATGCCGGGATTCGTACCACAGAAAGCTCAGCCAAGATGACACATTGCGTGCACGTGTGGCAAAGAATCGCAAAATTTACTCGTATGGAGTAAATTTTACATAATTTCGCGAAACCATGTCGTTTTTTTTGTCTATGCGTCTTCGAAGTCTATTTGCTGTCTACGATTTTGTTGAAAATTGATAATTTGACTCTTGAATGACTACCAAACATGAACTTGAAATAAAACGTTGGAGCGTGCGTAACTCGCGTGACACCCTGACAGCCCAACCTCATCAGCTAGTCAGCAACAGGAGTGAGAAACAAGTGAATGACAGAAACAACCGAGCCCGTTCCCACAGCACCCTTCAACGCATTTTAAACATACAGTATCATGCCACCGCAAATTTTTGTAGTGTAATGGTAATCATGTCCGCCTAACACGCGGAAGGTTGCAGGTTCGAGTCCTGCTAGTAACAAAAGATTATCACAAGTTTTATCACCATCCGTTGAATTTTTTTTTTCTGAGTATTTTGAGGCTGTGATAAACTAAAACACGCACTAACCGGTGTCTACTCAGTCTGGATAGTTCTGTTTATGCTCGTGTAAAGACCAGATGAATAAACTTGTTGGTATGACACCT